TAGATTATTGGACATATTTACAACTCCGCAATTCTGTGCCAGTTTCTTGTTGGCGCTCTTCGTTGAATCGCATGGCGAATTTAATACTCCACAAGGTTAAAAATCGTTAGATTGTTGATCATAAACTTCACCGACAGACAGCACTGTCAGAGGAGGAGGGAGGTGGGGTGGTGGTAAACTTTGCGTATTAGATAATGCAAATTCCTAACCGGTCGATAGAAATTCAGTTTGGTTGGATAGACACTAGAAGTTGACGAATGATCTTTACTATACCCCTGGTAATTTAGTTTCCTATCCCTACGCGTCAGTCTCTCCTCCGTCTCTCACAAAATTAAACGTAAACGAGTATAAATACTCCGAATACATATGCGTGTAATGTAAAAACCAATTATGCGGACTGTGAATGCAATCCCGTAGAGAAAACTATTAAAAAACACACTCCCATTAATGATTTATAAATGTAATGTAATGTAATTTCAGGATGGACTCATACCATAACTGAAAGATAAATAGCAGTTAAACTGAACTATAAGAACACCGTTTTCCAACTTTTGTTTCAATCTAAACAAAACAAATAACAAAAAGAAATATCGACCACATATGCATGTATAGGGTAGACTAAATTGGACACTTTTACAAGGGAAACTCTCCTTTGTTAAAGGAGGTGTGCCATATAAAAAATCAATTTGTCTTTGGATAGCTAATAAAATATTAGTATTAAGAACATTATATTTCATCGATTAAATTTTGAGTAAAAAATGTTCTATAAATGTTTTTATAGAAACACAAAACTTTCCATAACAAAAAAGTTGCAACAATTTTTTTAAAATGCAGCAAAAACATCGTATGACTCTGAATAATTCTAGTTTTCCATGCACTGTTTTTACCATTAAGTGTTTTAAAAATGTCAGAGTTGGCTTGCCTTGGATATATTATATAATACTTTAATATACACACAATTACGAACACACACCCAGGTAGCAGAGGAGCATCAAAGTGTCATAAGTGGTCGTTACACTTCAGTGGTCCGAAAATCAAATTGACGTCAAAAAAAGGATGTCTTATTAACGCCACACAAAAATGACCTCAGAATATCATCATAAGATGACTTGATTCATTCAAGATATGGACTAAACTATTATCATATTTAAAACCGCGTCCAAATACCGTGTAAAACAATTTGTAATTATTTTCAAATATACAGGGCGATTCATAAATGTGCGGAAAATCTAATTTACATTTTAATGTAACACCATGTATATTATGATATTAATAGATTCTGCAATTGTAATTTTATGTCAACAATTTTAAAAAGTGGCACAGTCATTTGTTATTATACAGGGTGAGTCAAAATGAAAAATAATAATTTTCGTGAAAAAATCAGATAGAAGATCCTGTATATTATACTTCCATTGTTAACTTTTTTTATGAGAAAGGCTCATAAACTATAATTTTCAATTTTGCGCAAGCGCAATAGACGTTCTATGCAATTTAGTTTGCTTTACTTACATTAATTTACTTTTAATTTTCACAATTAAAAAAAAAAAACAATTTAAAAGTCATTATATTTTTGACACATGACGACACTAATTGACGTAAAAAAGACGTCACTTAAATGACATCATTCGTCTAAGATATTAGTAGGCCAAATTCACGTCTTGTTATATACCGTAATTTTCGTCATATGGTGACATCATTTTGATGACCCTCTGCTACCGGGGAATACCCTGGATTTGAATTATCGGAAACGAAATTCTTACTATAGGAAAAGAAATATTAAAAGAATAAAAAGGTATTTTAGTTAACTCCTCTTTCAATTTGCCTTTATTTTGGAGTTTTGGGTCATTTTCCGTCAATATGATACAAACTAAACATGTAGATACACCAAAGACACGATATAAAACAAAACATTAAAAAATAAAATCGTGATTTTGTTATAAAATCGGGAGGTTTATCGATTTTCAGTCGATCATTGGTTGTCCATCACGAATTCATTCCTTAAACATAAGCCCTACCTTAATTTGTTTAAACTTTGGAACATCTGAGTTGCGCTACACGTATCCGTCACTCTCCATTTATTAGTTTTCTCTGGGGTGTCAGTCGCTCGTTCGCTTTTAACGAAATTTAACTCAAACGAGTATAAATCTTCCGAGTCCACACACGTGCAGCGTAAAAACTGGTAATGCCGACTGGAAATGCAACCCCAACTATTTAACCGCCGCCGCCGCCGCATTTATTAATTTCGGTTAACGCGGGAGGAAATAAATATTATCTTGGAACTGAATTTCGCCTCATCTAGCACGTTCTATTCATACGAGTTTAACACTATACACATTCAGTATTTGGACAATTAATAAAATTTATACGGACATTGTGTCTGTTTTTTCTTTGTTCGGAAACACGTGGTAACCCGTATTATCGTATTAATAGGGTAGAAAAACAGGAACTTTTTAAAAATTGATTGAGATTAATCCTATGCTTACTCGCTCCCGGTATTCGGGGGTAGAATTCCTAGACAACATCATGAATTCAACGCGTAAAAAAGAACAAAGGAAACATTTTGGGGAACTTGTTTCGTGAATTTGAATTTGATAGCTCCTCTCCCGGGAGCAATGAGCTTGTTTGCGACAAGGATTTTTCTCCTGTGCCTAATTTAATCTAGAAAATTCATTCCTTCGCATTTTATCGCTTCTTAATCAAATCTGATGCCTGAGAAAAGTAAACGGAATCTTCCATTGCACACCTTGCTATGTTGCTTAAACGAGGAAAAAATAACTGAGCCAGGGAAAGTTTAATCGGTCTTATCAAATTCAACGTAAAATATGGTAAAACGGAAAAACAAAATAGTAATGAAATTTTGACATCCTGTGTTTTGAAGACAGTTATGGTAATTTCTAACCTATAATATACCTAAGAATAATATTATTAATATTATTATTAATAATAAAGAAAAAACAAGAACTTGACACTGCAAAAGTGTACTCGGGTTAAACGATTATAACGGACAGGGGACACAAAATACACCATAATATATCCAGCGATTTTTTTTTTATATTGTATTAAAAATATAACTTTAATATACATTTTGAAACAGTATTATTAGTATTAGACATAGACACAGACCCAAGTAGCAGTTCAAACTACAGCGTTGTTGATAAGATATGGACCATCCAGCTGATTTTTTAAATAGAATATGTGGTATTTTAATAGTTAAGAAAATATATTCTACAGGAAGTACAAAAAATTGTGTATATTTTATTTAAAAAAAAAATAAAACGGTGTATTTGTGTTTTAAGGAGTTTAATAATAATAATAAAAATATATATCTATTGAAGGTATATTATACTAGGTATATTAAACAGTGTCAAAAATAACAATATTTGCATTTTTTATCCTGGTATGAAATTTGATAATAACGGCTCTTTTCAGTCGCAACTTTCCTCTGCAAGACTGCCTACGTTCTAAACCCAGAAGTGTTCCGCTTCCACGCTTTTGTACTGTAAATACTTTCTCAACTTCCAGTATGCCAAACCTAATGTGATTTTTAAAATTTTCGTGATACACCATCTTTTCTTGTTCTGTGAAAATTGCGTATTTTAATGAATTATTAATTAAATAGACCAATGGTTGAACAATTGCAAGAATTATAAAATTCAAAAGATTACTGGACACTTCATCGAATTCGGAACTATGTTAAATTTTTAATGATCTTGTTATTTCATAAAATTCCTGATTGTTTACAGTGTTCAGACAAATTTTTATCTTATTATATTTAATATTATCATTTGAAACAAAAAATAACAATTATATCAGAAATCATGATATCATATCAAGATCATATGTATGAATCATATCTACAAAACGATATATATTTTTCCATACTCGGAATTTGAAATATTTTCTGACATTTTTTTTGCTAATATCATGTACTTTTTACAAAACTTCTGGCGTCGGCTTTTTGCTGAGTCGAACTTGCTAACGTTTCGCCAATCATCCTGTGGGCTTCTTCAGAGTTTGACTAAAACTGGCGGGAATTGCACTCTGTACCTGCTTATATATTGTGTGAGCTAAATGAGGGGCATGAGTGATTCCCATATTGGTGACAGGTAGAGACCTCAGTCACGGTTGACATTGTTGTGTTGTTTTTTCGTTGGTAGAAGAACTGATTGATTACATGTAAGAATTTTAGTTTAGCGGTTTCGGAGTGTGTTCGGCAACAGCTGATGAGTTTATTTGTTTTAGTATTAAGTCCCTTTCATGTTCTTGTTGATATTTTTCGTCCGGTCTCTGCAATGTATTATTTGCCGCATATGCATGGAATATTGTAAACTCTTGGCATCTCAAATGGAATTTAGGATCAAAGATGATCATCTAAAACTAAAATTCTTTTATGTAATCAATTCTTCTACCGACGAAAAATCCGAGGGTATATAGAAATCTGTAAACAACCTAACAATCTTAACCGCGACTCACGTCTTTACCTTTCACCAATATGAGAATCAGTCATTCGAGATGGTGTTTGTGCCCTTAATTTAGCTCCGCCTCCTCAAACGATATATAAGCAGTTTCAGTCAAGGTCTGAAGAAGCCAACAGGATGATTGGCGAAACGTTAGCAAGTTCGACTCAGCAAAACACCGACGGAGGAGGAATCCAGAAGTTTTGTAAATAGTATTACAGTAGCCTGTGGAAGTTTCTTTGAAAAATTGATATCATATATTCTGAATTTTAATAATTAAAATTATATATTTTTAAGCCCGATGACTATAATATATAATTTTTAAAATATGTAATATTGGTTTACCACATTTTTTGCGACTTCCTATACAATATATTTTTAATTGCTATAAAAATACACTACATTCCATGCAAGTTAGCAACAAAAATCATCTCTATAACTTGAAAAAAATCAATAGTTAGTTAACTAAGACCGCTCATCGCATGTGTCAAATATTAAGCAACTATATTGCGATTGAAATTCTAGGAAATCTAATACACTTACCAGTGATCAACGTAGTTCCGATGTTATCCCACGTTGTTGAATTGCCATAAAATGTCTCCGGATTTAACGAACTCAACATGTTGTAACTTAAATCTATCGATAGGTACGAAATTTTGTCCATATTCGAGAACAATCCGCTCGGTAATTCGGACAATTGAGTCCCCGATATTTTTATACTTAAACTAGGGTTTCGCACTAATCTCGCGAAAGCGTCCTTCTCGACAATTCTCAAATTCCGCCCGGTAATCTGTATATTCGTGATTTTTCGATTGGTCAAACACGACAACTGATCTTCGAGCTTATGCTCGATGAAAATCACCCGGAGCACTCGTAGCTGATTCAAGTGCGAAAGCAGGTAACAGAATTCGTCGTAGAAATGCTCGACGCTGGGCCACGTCTGCATGGAGAGTTCCGACAGAATCCTCAATTGGATAAGTGCCTTGCTTTCGAATTTGGAAATCCTTTTTAAGTGTTGAATGTTTAAAACCTGCAGGCTTTTCAGTCCGTGGAGGCTATCGACGGTTATTTCTTTTATCGGATTATACGATATATCGAGACTTTTCAAATTCGGCAAATGTATCCAGAGGTGCGACGGAATATAAGCGAGACTGGAGTGACTCAAGTCGAGAACTTTGAGCTTGTTCAGTTCCTGAACCGCGTTTTTGTTTATTGCCTGTATATGGTTATGCGAGAGGTTCAAATGGACCAAATTCGGCAGAGGAAAGTGCGGAGTAGACGTAATCCCGGTGTCTGCTAAGTTGAGGTGTTTTAAACTTTGCGCGTAGTGGAAGAGTTCCTTGAAGTTAGCCCGCAAGGGATTCGAACTCAAATCCAAAGTTTGCAGAAGCCCGAGACTCGTAAACACGTTGTCCGGCAGAATCGTCAGCTTATTTCCACTCAAGTCCAGGTGGTGCAAATACGGCATGTCCGGAAACGTTGTTATATCTATGTGCTCCAGGTTATTGGATCGCATCGAGAGGTGCCGCAGAGTAAAGCCCACGTCCGCGAGACTCAAACTCGGAACCACCGAGAACGAATTGTAATTCAAATCGATCATTTCGACCAGCGTATTGCTGAAAACGTCCTTCGGCAGGTAACTTAGACTGTTACCGCTGAGGTTGAGGACGCGTAGCTTGGGCGTATCGGAAAATTGACCAGCATGGAGATGGCCGATTAGATTTCCGGACAGGTCTAAAATTTGCAAGCTCTGCAGTCCGAAGAAAGCCTTTTTGTCGATGAGCATTACTTTGTTCTTGCGTAGTCCGAGGTGCTCCAACGATGTGAGGTGCATCAGAGCGTTGTACCCGATGGACGATATTACATTGAAGTCCAAGTGGAGTTTCTTGAGGAACGCCGTGTACTCCAAACACTCGGGAATGGCGGCAAAGTGGTTATGACTTAGGTCCAAAACTTCGAGCTTGAGCATTTTCCTGTCGGAATTGCAAGCTGTCATCTGATTACGGCTTAGGTTCAAAAAGAGCGGGCCGGTCACGTTGACGAATTGCTTGAACGATATCTCGGCCAATTGATTCGACTGCAAGTCTAGTTTGGTCAGGGAAGACAGATTCGAAAAAGCGCCCGTGCTGATGCGACTTATCGAATTGTCGGACAGGATCAATTTGTTAAGCCGCGGCAGATCGCTAAAGCTCCCAATTTGAAGGTATTTAATTTTATTATCGGAGAGCGCGACCGTTTCCAGATTGCTCAGCGATCGAAACGTATCCGATAAAATGAATGCGAGCTCGTTATTGCAAAATCTGACGTCTTTTAGATTGGAATGTGTGTCCGGTTTAAAAAGTTTCGGCGGAATCAGGTGGATTTTGTTCGATTCGAGGTTGAGATAGGCGAGTTCCCGTAACGGGTCGAACGATTCCGGGTTAATCTCGTGGAAGTTATTGTGGTCGAGGGACAGGAACTGCAGTCGCGTTAAACTTTGAAAAATTTCGTGGGGCAAGTCGTCGCGGTCCATGCTGAACGACAGTTCCAAAGTTTCGAGACCGTCGAGGCCGTAAAACGCGTCAGTCTCGATGAATCTCAGCGGATTGAAGCTGAGGCTCAGCTCGCGCAGCTCGGGAAGGTCCGCGAATATTTTACCGTTCAAATTGGTGATACGGTTGTTATTTAGTATCAAAGTTTGAATGCCCGAGCCCCATTCGGAGAAGTCGCCGTCCTCTATGTCGTAGATCTTGTTAAAACCGATATTAAAATAGGAGATTTTCGAGCAGTTCCTTAAAGTTTCCGAGGGGATTTGCGGCAGGTTGTTGCCGCTTAAGCTGATCGCTTTCAAACTGTGGCTGAAGTTTTCCAACGCGTCGCCGGATATCTCGCTCAACGAATTAAACGATAGGTAGAGGTATTTCAGCGAGGTTAGCAGCGTCACCGCCAGTGGCACTTGCTTTAGGTTGTTGTGGTCCAAATCCAGATACTCCAGCGTGTCGACGATTCCGTTGAAGGCGCCGTCGTCGACGTTCTCGATCAAGTTGTAAGATAAAATGATCCTGCGACAGTCCAACCCCGCGAAACTGTCGTCGGTGATTGTCGTAAAGTCGTTGGACGCCATGTTCAAATCTCTGATGTAAATCGAGTTATTAAACGGTTTCCTGGGCAAGGCTTTGACGTGGTTCTCGCTAAGATCGATCTTCTCGAGCCACAGCTTCCGGGCGAACGTGTGTTCCGGTATGGTCCGGATTTGATTGCCTCGTAAATACAGCCATTGTAAATGAGGTATTGTGGCGATAATATCGAGCGGAAAGTTCTCGATCAAATTATGCGAAACGCTGACCGTCTGCAAGGCGGGGGGCAGGGCGTGTTTGTGAATTTTGTGAATCCGATTTCCGTCGAGGTTCAGCCAAATGAGGCCCTTGAGTTGACGCAGGCCGGCATGGGGTAACTGCTGATGGGGAACGGGGGACGCGGCGGTCGAATCGGCTGTCATTTCGGCGATGTCGTTCTCCCCCAAGAAGAGGGTGGCCAGGGTGGATTTCATGTGCGACCAGTCGCCGGTCACAGTCGATACCTGATTCCTGCAACGAGACAGGGGTTTCAGATCGGGAATATATATACGTGGGTGGCGGGAATATTTATTGCCGAAGATTTGGGATGCAATTCTGATGTGTCAATGGGGAGGCGCCGAGGGGATTATTTATTAGATCGGAAAAAAATAATTCGGCCGTTTGCTGATTTATTTGGCGGGACGAAAAAGTTTTGATCGTACTTTTATTATTCATATTCGTCTCCTTTGGAATGGCCCAGGCAACGTTTTGGTAATTTTGAAAATGTTTTATGATTGTTATGAGGGATTTAATACAACTGTTTTACTTTTGATCATTATTAGATTTTACGCTAGCGACGGGCCATTTGACATGTGTCACAATACCAACGTGTTTCTTCAATAGAACTTAACTTCATGCCGTAGTTTAAAAAATCCAAAATAATGTTGAACATGTTTAATGAAATTCCATATTTTTTAAGAGTTTTTGCTTGCCATTTGTACCTCACCCGTCTTCTGTGGCTGCGATATTGTTAAAACAGTGATAAAACAGTTTTTCTACTCCCTACTCTAAAGTGTCTAAATATGCACTGATCAAGCATGTGCGAAGTTACATTTTAAGATATAAGTTTCTTTAATCACGGTCGCCACTTCGGACGTCTCTTGTACTTGACTCACGAGCGATCGGAGCGGTGAAGTGAAGTGAAGTCCCGTCACACATCATGTGTTGTTTGGCAAGAATATATCCAAAAAATAATTTTTTACAAATGCAACAAGTTGATAACCTCCTTCATTCAATCATTCATTACTTTTAAAAATTAAGTTTAACTAGGGTTCATTTTTTGGAGCATAAAAACTAAAGGTACTTTATCAGACGATGTAGGAATTTTATCAGAATTAGTAGAGCAAGGACTATATAATAACTTCTACCTTCAGATTGTTTGTTAAAACAGTCTGTTTTAAAAATCCAACAATAACATTAGGGACATGGATACGGCCGCCAAAAAAGGATGAACCGATTCAACAAGTAAGTGTCAAACCAAAGCTCTTTCAATTAAAGGACAGGGAAGTTCTCGAAGAACAATTTTAACCACCGGCCGGATTCGCTCTCTTTTATTATCAAAAATAGCGGTAGAATCTTTTTTTAGGGCCGTTTCCATTCGGACAAACATATCTAGCATAAAGGACCAGAATTCCGTGAATATAAATTGCGACATATTCCATCAAAGCTGAAGAACTTAATTTCATAAATCCTTTAGTTTTTCTTTTAGAAATTTGGTTTAGAAATTTTACCATAGTACATTTTACAATTTTATTCTTCCCTTGATGATTTATATATGCAAGAATAAGGTATTCTCGTTGTGTACTTATTTTATATTTAATTTTTACTGAAATCATTTACATGTTATTATCAAATGATCAAAAATATTTTCTTCAAACATTTGTCAAAAACAAAATATACAATAATCGGTCAATCGGTGGAATGCTAAGAAAGATTATGAACAAAAGAAACAAGAATTGCCTCAGGAGGAATTTTAATATTTGTAACCTTGTTAATTAGTTCGAACGAATTTTTGATAACATATCTGGGTTTAAAGGGAATATGATATTATAAAATTTTTATTAATCTTGTTGAAAGTTAAACTGATGTTGCTGTTACAAAAGAAACTACAGGCGTGATTGGAATATCCAACCAACAATGGGTAAAGTCTGTTCACAGATATGAGAAAGTGACTAACTGATACAAATTAAGAAAAGTCCTGAGCAAGCTGTAAGAATGAAATATGGCCAAACAGGTAGGTACTTTGCTTGAATTTAATTATTTGGGGCTTTGGGGGACAGATACTAAACAATATTTATTTATTTATGTATGTATTTATGTTTAAATCTAAAATAAAATTACAAATTATTTTTATTACCTACTTAAATTACTTAAAATTATTCACATAATATATCAGTATCACCATCGCTTTCATCGCCCGTTCTAATTATTATTTGTTCTATATTATTTGCAATATGGAAATACGATTGTTCTGCTTTTTCTATATGTTTAACAGAATTTGCTCAACTTTGTGGAGGGATGTTAAAAACTTCGGTTTCTATAAGTTTGAGGACATTGGAGTTAACACGGGGAAAAACATTGTTACGACCAATGGCAGATTTCAGTAAGTACCAAACATATTTAATGGGATTAAATATACAGTGGTAAGGTAGAAGCCTTAAAACTGCATGCCCTAAATTTTTTGAATAATTATCACCGACGTATTCCTTTTGTAGGTTCAAGCTTTGTAGAACCTCAATTAATTGTTTTTAGGTATAATCTTCGTGTAGTAAATGTAGTTTTGGATTGTTGCTTTTGTGTCACATGAGGAAGGGGTTTTAGTCAACTGTCTACTGTGAGAACTTGCATTGTCCATTACAATTATGCTATTAGGAGGAATGTTTGGAACTAGTTTGTTTTTAAACCAACTTTCAAATAAATCAGGGGTGGTGTCTTCATGGTAATCCAGAGAAGAATCTTTAATATTTTTCGCAGATACAGAAAGACCATTTGGAATCCAACCATCTTTAGAGCCAGCATGCAAAATAGTTATTCTTTTACCTTTTTTTGATGGCGCGTTTTGTTTTACACTTATCCGTTGAGTCAACCCAACCCTTTTCCGGAGTATCATAAGTGTCGAACCAGGTTTCATCTATGTAAATAATTGGCCTTTGTTGTTCTCTATAAATCCTAATTTTTTCTAGATATTCCGGTCGCCATTTCCGAATTCTAAAAAAATCGATTAAAACTTGCCTTTTGTCAATTTTTTGAAATCTAAAACCCAAGTGTTGAATGCACTTCCATAAGGTAGTTCTGCCACATTTAACACCGGTTTCATCTTTTTCAAGCCTCCTAATTAAATTTTACGCCGTATTATATCTTGATCACTTTCATCTACACTCGAGAAAATGTCAGCATCGCTTCTTTTTTTCTCGCTGAAATGGGATTATTCACAATTTTCCGTACAGTTGATGTTAGAATTTTCGTCAATGTGGCCGTTTCTACTAAAGATGCTTGTTTGCTGGCACCACGTTCAATGAGAGTCTAATAAACATTTTTTATAACTTCCTTAGTCTCAATAGAATAGTGTTTTCTACATCTGGGCGGGAGCATCTCCTGAGATACACTAGGCTTGCACATATTTTGCATAATTCGCACACGATTCAACACAAGCTGTGATATACACGAAATAAGAATGATTACTAATAAACTTAAACTAAGTAGTATACCAAACCAATGAATATTAAACATACCACGGACCACAATTTTACCTGAATTTAAATTCCGAAACTTTAGGTAATAATCTTATTGCATTGTATGTTAATGACCACCCTTGGATAATCCCATTCAATAGCAATTGTCACTTTCTTATATCCATGAACAGACCATACGAACCCTCTTTGATAAATAAGATTATAACTAAAACACAGTCTCACATAACTCGGAACTCTATCCATGTCATATTAAATACGGAACCCAAATTTTATAAAACAATAAAATACATAGGAGAACCTAGCAAGAAATATTTGAAACATCATCTGAATTGGGTCCTAAGGTTGCTTTTAAAACCGAAAACACTATTGGAAAATTTTTAAAAGACAATAAAACTGAATCACAAAAAACTCAAACAGGTAGAACATTTAAGAAACACATTAGCGAACAAAAAAGAGCCTACAAAAATAAAAGTTCGGATTCTAGCTATGCCATTCATTTAAATTCAGAAATACACAAATTTGTTGGGAGCTATGGAGATTAATAAAATGAAATATTCCAATCTCTGACCAATTCGATTTAAATGCGCCTCCGTTGTTAAATTTAAATTTACAACCATACAGCGGTAATTAAGAATCTATTACTACCACGTGACACAAATAATATTATCATTATAATCATAGCTATATAGCTTATTTATATAAGTCGATGAGTAATTATTTATTTATAAATCAAATTCAGATCATGTAATATTTTCGTAAATTAGGTGTAAATGCCAAAATTTGTATTAAAATTTAATAATAAAGATTAATTAATTCTACATACACAACATTGACACCATTAAAAATAGCTAAATTATATCATAACTACTTAGTTCAAAGAAGGACAAAAGGGAGACACATGGATGAATAATAAATGCAAAACAATTTCCTATTACATTTATCGGCCATTAGTATGAACGTTTATGACAAAGAAGAGAATACCCATTGCTACCCGTCAGTTTCTTAGTAAAATTTGCTTCACAAAATCTAGAGTGCGTATTTTATTACAGGGTAACAAATTATAAAAAAAAGACTAAGGGATTCATTTAAATTGTATTGCACATCAACAAACATTTCTTAATAACGTGGTAGACATTCTTTTTATATTCACCTCGTATATGTGGAAAATCTTATCCAAACGTAACTTTTAAGACATCAGATTTCCAGCTAACTAATCCGCGTCCCGATTTTAATCACGACTGTTTACAGAATTAACTAAACCTTAAAACAACCAATTTTCTACGAACGATATGTTCCAGTGCTTCTCCAACTCCTTTGCTCTCGCCGTCGCTTTTTCAATTAAATTCAAAGAAAACAAAACGGGCGGGAATCCGGCACGGGGAATTCTCAAGAAGCCGAAACTTTTCGAGAATATGCTGTTTTCCGATCCGGTTCCGTCGTTACAAAAGAAAACAAACGTTGTTAAAACTATTAAACTTGCTCAATAAAATAGTGAGACGTCTTTGTTGCAGCCAGGCAGCAAGAACGGCTCTTATTGAAGTTATAAGGAAAACTTGCCCGTCTCACCGCTATTGTCAGTCCGCATTACTGACCAAATTCGATTCTTACAGAGTTCGGAACTAGTTCTGATCGTGGAAAGTTTGATAAGGGCAAACGTCGGATTTTCTACCGAAACGCACGGTACGTGAATTAAAATTGCTGATGCGCCTATAACTTTTAGTTATTAAATTAAAAGCATAGAATCGAATGTTTTTACTGCCGAGATGGATATAAAATAAATAAATAAGCCAGATAGCAGATTTTTAGAATTTTTAATATTTTAATAAGATTACACTTTCCTTTTAGGTGTTAGCTACCAAAATCCTGAAACAAGTTGGAGTGATTTCTTATACCTGACAGATTTTAAGCTGCCTGCGTGTTATAATTTACTATTTAAAAAACATATTGCAAGCTGTCTAGAGAAAGCTTATCGAGTGGTTTTTATGTAAGTGACAGATTTTAAGTTGCGTTTAAGTTTTTTGGATATTTGATATTTTGGGAGTATTAATTTTCAATAATCTCAATGCCTTTTGAGGGAACCTCATCAGGTTATGGCTTTCAAAAAGTACAAATATCTTGTACAGGCGAAAATGTATTAAAAGATCAGTTTAACACTAATCTATTAATTAAAAAACATATTGCCAGCTACCTAGAGAAAGATTATCTTTCATTGAAAATACTGTATCCGCGGGGATATTTATTAGGTGAAAATCGTGAAATCAAATCAACTCACTCTCTCTTATTAAGAAATTACAAATAATGTACTTTGTTTGGATAAAATTGAAAAAGCCAAAATAGAGAAAGCAGAGGAGAGTTGCCTAATGATATACTTTCTATATACGAATATTCAAGCCAGTTTAACATAAATTAAAAAATACTTTTAAAAAAATGACTTTTTCAACTTCTTTATAGAAGAAATAGACATTCTATTAAAATGTATTTTTTTTATATCTGTTTTAAAATTCAAAAGTTATGGTTTGAAAAAAATGGAAATATTTCCCTGCAATTTAGTAATAGCCTATAGATAATTTAATTATGTTTTTAAATCCTGTTTCTTGTATAATTTGTATACTGCACTTTACACGATTATTTTGTATATATTTGGAAGAAGGCAGTTGGAACACCAGTAAATAATCTTTAAAAATGAATGAAAGTGTCAGATTACGGCACCGACGGAAAAAAAGTGGTATACTGAAACATGTCTGGAATTGCATATACTACAAGTTAATCACCCTGCGTCAGAAAGGTTGAAATGTGTAGCACACACGATTATATGAAGTTTTCTTTATAAAATATATAAACAAATCATAACTTTCAATATTTATATTCAACTGGAAAACATCCTGTATAAAGTAATTCCCAAAGAGCGTCTGCTATATCTTATAAATTACTCAGTATAACAGCATAACAAGCGGGCATGTTCCAATTTAAGACTATTTATAAATTAAATTGTATATTATTAATAAATTAAATTTCTCATCGCAATTTTTGTATTTGGCAACAGCGATTTCGCATTTTTCCCCGCTGATAGTATTACCTCCGTCCGAATGTGGAACGGCAAAATGTGATAAGTACTCCTTTTTATTTAAAAATCCAATTAGGGAAATGTCACGAAAAATGTCTGTGTTTGTACGTAATATTCTCTCGTTTTTCTTACTCGGTTTTTTAAATCGAAATCGAAACCCGATCCCCCAAGAAGAATTTCTAATCAAGTCAGAATTTTTGCAAAAAAAAATTACAATGATACTATGCAATAAATTTAACTCGATACTTCATTAAATAGTTTTTATCCAAATATATTCAAATTTCTTTCATTCGTTGTACGAAACTTGGCAACAACGTCCACAAATTTCTTCGCCGCCATACATTTCCCTTTTTTCCTTCCAATCTTACTCAGGTACGAATAAGGGTTTGATATAATTATAAACTCTTTTGCAGAGGATATTCCAATTTTCCGCGACGGATTTTTAATACGGTTAGAAAATACAATATTCAAAAGATTTCTTTTACATATAAACAGCCGCCTCATTTTTTTTTGGACCCGAGGAAATTCGGTAATTTATGAATTTCGAGAATTATAAAAGCCGAAGAACCCTAAATAAATGTGTTCCTTTGGAAGGACCAGAGCAAAAAGCCTGGGGCAAATCGATAGCGTTTTCATATATTTGATATTAGAAAAAATATAAAGAAATTCTCAGACTGCCAACAAAATTTTTGTTTGTTTACTTTTATTAAACGTCATATCTATAAAACTAAAAAAAAAAGATTAAAACGTGCAAAAAAAATCCGCATCTGTACAAGGTACAAGTCTGGCGAAGCGTAACAACCTAATGTTATTTTTAGTGTTGGAACTGGTCAATTGACGGTTAATTAATTAATTGACTAGACAAATTCGATGAAAATGTTTTAAATAACAATTGTAAAGTGTTGTCTACCATTATTTAATAATAATATGTGTTTTTTAATAAATTATTGTGCCTTTGTGATGTCGAATTTACCTATAAACCTCTTCAAAAAATACCGGAATGCCACATTTTTGGGAAATCCCATTAAAAACATCCACTCCATTTAGTTCCCAGAACGACGCGATGGCTAAATATAACTAAATATAAATAAATATAAATTTCATTGCATTTAAAAATTTTTTTTGGTCAAATTGCAAAAAAAAAAACGCAAAAATTTGACCGGTCAACTGCACAACCGTAGTTATTCTACTTAACCATGCACCTCTTTCGCTACACGAACCGAAACATCAAAAATGCATTATAATTACTTACACAACCCGGTTCATCCCGCGATCAGTGGAAAACATCCCTTGGAGAGGTTATTATTAAGGAAAGTGAAATTGTAAATTTTATTAAAAAGGTTCTCCGGTAAACCATTCGAGGAACTTTTTGTAAAATTTCAGTAATTCAAGTCGTGTCTCAAAAATTCTAGTTCCGTTTGTAGATTAAGATACTAGCAAACAAAACACTGTTTTCTCGCAGATTTATGAAACAATTTTGAAGTTGTTAGGAGCGACTTTAGTAGTCTAGCAAACGATAGTCTCCTCTAGCATGAATTTAGCTGTTATAGTCTGTTTCAATCTTCATAGTGTATAATAAAAGTTTAATGATGTGATAATGACCTATCGTTGTAGAGTAAAACCGTTAACAAAAAATTTATTCTTACTTGAGTGAAAAGGCAAGGGTTGGACAGGTATATTTCTGTCTTTCGGATATATTTCTTGAGTGTTAACCATTTATGGCAGTGTTGAATAACTGTTTTTACTGAGCGATTTAAAAAAGTTATTTTCATCATTTGTCGCTTGATGCAAAACAGGTTGTGAAAAATGTGTTTGAAATTTTATTCACTAGAAGACTTATTAAACAAGAAGCTTTAAAAGAAACTTGTCTACTTGCAAAAACGTGGCGATTTTCAAACTCGCGATAGTGATCAGGCCATAATAAGAAGGAAAATATATTGTCTTTATCAATGCGAAGTTGTTCCTCTCGAAACTGAAAAAGCAGGTAGAAGAAGATGAACTAATATAAATATCGTACCACTCTCCATGGAGTTATTTGTAAAATGGGATTTAAGTACCGCAATATAAACAAAAGGCAAGTAGTAATGGAATCACACAGATTACGCAATTGGAGATTAAATTACCTTCTAGAAATTAAAGGATACCTTAATGAAACATGATTTGATACACACGACACTATATTTAAAGGATGGGTTGATTCCACTCAAAACTGTCAGACCAAAGAAACTTTAAATAAAGAAAAACGCATCACCCTAACATACGTTGGGACAGAAGACGTATTTGTCCAAAACTGCTTGCTGTTGTCTGCAAAGAATATTAAGGGCTCTAGCTTGGATTATCATGAGGTTACAAGTGCCAAATTTTTTGAAAATTGGTTTCAAAACAATCCTTTAAAAAAATATTCTCAATAACAGAGTTTTGTCCTGGATAACGCAAGCTACCGCAGCCGTCTGCTACGCGAAGCATCAGCCTCATCAAGTTCAAAAACTGAAATCCAGGAATATTTGTTAGAAAATGGTATTTATTTGGAATTCGGTTACAAAAAAATTCAACTTTTGTAAATTTATATGCAATTAAAAAACAGCATGCTTGAGATAACATGCTGATAACAGAGCATTTGTGAAACGAAGTAAAATGTTACTCCTAGTTTAAGTCCCAGTGTTATAAATTTGATAAAAAATGTAATTAACAACATACCAATTGGGAGCTGGAAAAATTTAGTACAGCAAATTGAGGACTCTTACATTTTTATACAAAACAACATAAATTAATCTCAATCACGACTTTGACAGTAACACAGAATTATATTTAATGTCATCGTTTTTTCTTAGTGAAATTTTATAAGATTATATCCAACTAAATAAACAAAAAATATTATATTATTACCAAAACTTTTGAGAGTCCGTCCAAAATATCCTGTCCTTTAATATCTACAGTACTCGAGTTTGATTGCCGTCGGCAAGTAACTTCCATAATTGCGGGCAAAAGCCAGCACGATGGATATTGACACAGACTATACCTAGCAGCCCTAAAAATATTAGCGGGAATATTGATTCATCCTATAAGTAAGTGCGAGTGGATGGAACATGTGTATTTATTCGAATACGAAATAGAGAAAAAAATTAACGAGTGACCCCGTTAAGGTCGCTCATCGATTTTCGTTTCGACACCGCCCCCGAAAATCATTAAAATATAAAATTCCACACGTACCCATGTAAATTAATCCATTGCAGACTACGTAGATCCCGCAGTGCAACGAACGGAACGCCGTCTAACTGATTGTATCCGAGATCCAGCGAGGTCAGGCTTTTCCACGACGAGCTGGAAGAGACATTTCCATGTTTAATCATACCTGCACATCTCCCTGCCTGTCTTAATCTAGTTTAAAATGAAACTTTGTGGTGGTTCCGGCGCCAGCGTTATTTCACACGCCTTTGCCGTTTCATCCGATTGTGTTCGGTAAAGAAAATATTATAATATCTGCCCATTTATTAAATCCTTTAAAACTTTACGGGCGTAGAATACTTAGAGGCAAAAAGGCGAGGTGCTTAAAAAACCGGGGATTTTTAATGAAATTACGAAGACTCGAATTTTTAAGGAACTATGGAAAAATTACATTTCCGTTTTTCGTTCGTCCCCCCGAGGGGCCAAAGCCATCGTTTTTAATTCGCATTTTCACGAAGAAAAATGCAAAAATTTGGCGCGGATATTCCCCTGAAAGTTGCGACGTTTTCATAATGTCGGTTGTTTTGGCCCAAATTGGCCCATGTTACGTATACAAGGTGGTCGCAATTGCATCCTTTTAAATTTGACATTTTGGTTTTTAATAGTTTTTAATGCGTTTTATTAACTTTATTAATTAATCGTATTTTCCATTTTAAAATCATTTACGTACATTCACGTAATTCATTTTATTCTTATTTTCTATATCTCTGTTAAAATTTTAAATTTAATAATTTTTGTTACTCCTCTTCTTGATAGTGATGATAAGTATACATACTGTGGTGTATATTGCGTAGGTAAAAAAAATTCAATCATAATTTACTATAAGTATGCAAATGCAGTGAAAATATCTCTTCTTTTAAAATTGGTTCTTACTATCAATTTGTCGTTGTTTACTCTGTGCCAAATCGAACACACATTAGCGAATGAGAGTCTTTCTTATGTCGTCAGAGTTTGGAAAACATTTTTATTGTTTGTATCGAAATTGGCCAAAAGTTGAACTAGAGACGGAATTCTTGCACTTATCCGATGGATGATATGGATGATGAATGTATGTATAACAGTTAAAAATTATATATACATCGATCTAAATTATTCGTGTTTTGAGTGTAAAAGTTTTGAAATTACATTTTCTGTAATAACAATTTTACATGAATACAAATTTACATTTTAGTGTATACGTACTGTGCGTTCCATATCTAACCGCTTTCTGCTGTTTTTCTCATAGCGAAGTTATTTTTAGAAACTTTATTAACAGAATAGATCTCGAATTGGGTTAATATTCGAAGGTCGCCTTGAGCGTATTGGCTTTAAAACTGCCATAGAAATATGATTGATAGTGCCTCTTACATGCTTTCTCTATTTTGGAACGATGCCGTTATCTTGCTTAAAGCTCCTTACCTTCAAGTGCATGATTAAATTAGTCAAGGCTATACGTTAAATTTAGCGTTGCATGTTTGACTTTGACAAACGCGGTTGGGAACTTTTAATCTGCCCATCTTTGCCGAGCTACATGTTCAGGCTCGTGATAAAATCCAAAAAAATATATACCTCTATTTAAGTTTGGAGTTAAACGAATTTTTCTAAAAGAGTGAGGTTGTAGTTTGATATCGAATCTCTTGAAGTCCCCTGTATTCTAATTTTATTATAATTATATAATAGTTTATAAACTCTAGATTGAAGTTAATTTTGAATTTCAAATAACTGTCAATTTTCTATCATCATTTAAAATATTCTAGAATTAAGAAAAAAATCCGGAAAAACAACTCTACCAAAAAATATTTTCATTTGTTAAAGACTCCACATAACGCTTCCTGGCAACAAGCCAAAAGAACGGTTTAATTAAAAAGATAAGGAGTTCTATTAAAAAAACAATTGGACTTTTTTCTGAAATTCCCGACACCGACGTTCAAAATTTCAAAAAAATGTGTAAAATTTTCTGTAGAATGAGAATTTGGTGTCGGGTGTTGGGGTTTAAATGAATAATTTAATATATAATTCGTATATATATGTCCTCATTTAGATATTGTGAACAAAAATAAGATTAGAAGTGATATTTTGGCATATTTAAAGTTATCCCAATATTGAGCGCCAATGTTTCTAAAGCTGTATGGTTTATTTTTGACCTAATCAAATTTAAAATTCGATGCTAAACAGCGATTCGATAATACATCATTGTCCCGCACGAAGTTTAATCAGAAATTCAAGATCAGGGCGACCAAAATGTATATAGCAGTTATTAGCCTAACAGTTAAGATAAGATCGACCGCTAGTTTCGCAGCTCCGTACTCTAGCGCCATTCAACTAACTTTATTATCTCCGTAGAAACCGTTATTAAAGGCACCGACGATTAGAAAGTCTATTGCAAATGGAGGTTTTAAACTTTAAACGGTAACGTTCCGTTTTAATGAAGATTTTAATAGAATTTAATATTTGTTTAGAACGCGGCTATTATGCATATCCTTGCTCGCTTCAAACCTTCAAATGTGTCTTATTTCAGAACGCCAAAATCTGATTCGCTTGATAACTGGATACGTCAGAAAGCAGAAACTTCTGGCTTTTATTATAAACAGATGAATAAAAACTTCGATATTTTTAGTCTCATTTTTTAGATGTTTTAGATATTTTCTGGATAAAATCATTTACAGTCAGCTATAGTTATTAAAAACTTCCAAAGTAGACCGAATCATTAATAAAAAATAGTCTATTTTATAGGTTAATTACATGAAAAATTTTATTTTTACATGTTTTAGATATTTTCTGGATAAAATCATTTACAGTCAGCTATAATTATTAAAAGCTTCCAAAGTAGACCGAATCATTAATAAAAAATAGTCAATTTTATACGTTAATTACATGAGGAATTTTATTATGAATATGTCTTTGAAATTTAAAATTTCTTTGGTCAAATTTTCTCGTCAGTTTTTTTCTCGTCAGTAATTTTCAAATTACCCAGTTTCAAATTAATTGAATTTATTCCATTCATTTTTGGTTCGTTTAGGCCATGCCAGTATCAATTGTATACTTTATTTCAGTACTTCCTGTTTGTAGCGTCTAGAATGTTTTTTTTTTTCGATAAATTTGCAAAATAGGGAATATACAAAAATTAAGAGGTTGACTCCTGGAAGTGATAAAAGTGGACGGTAAATTTAATAATAATGTAATTTAATTTAATTTCAATTTTAATATTCAAATTTAGATATTAATAGGAACTTAGCACTAGGCTGAACAAATACAAGCACAAAGTTCTCAAATTCATTGCAGATTTGATATCTTTTAGAATTTATTGTTTAATTTCTGAAATAAGTGTGACTTTACTTTACTTTACTTTATTGGTCTGATAAACAATCCCTTATATAAATTTTTAGAAGGAACATGAAAGTTACCCTGCTCAAGATGCTCCAATTTTAAAAATAGTACAAATTTTAAAATATTTTCTGTTATTCTCAAGAGGAAAAAGAAATAGAAGTTTAATCGGATCAGTATAGAACTAGAATATTCTATCAGAAAATAAATTCAATATTACTCACTTCACCGAATTCTTAAATACGCTTGGTTCATTGAACTATGCAAAGTAATTTTGTAACTTGAAAATTCACCCCTTTTTTTTAGTCCAGATCCCGTTTTAGAAGAGGAGCTTTCGACTAATTTAATGAAGCTTTATTGTATCTCAATCGCAAGCGTGAAAGACAGAACAATAAATGATTTTATGATTTGATAAACGGTGAAATAATGAAAATTCAATTAAATTAGAACAAAAAATTTTCAGATTTTCACAGTTATTTACTGTTTCGACCGTGCCTTTATCAAATGTATTTGCAATGCATTTTAAAAAGGCAGGGTGTTGTCTAAGCAGCTGTCATCAAGTAATAAATAACTGTGAAAATCTGAACATTTTTTGTTCTAATTTAATTGTGTTACATCCATTTTCATGAAGTAAAAATCACCACAGTTCAATAATGAAAATTAACGAAATTTAAAAATTTTGTTACTTAATTTCACCGAAGAGGCTTTGAACTATGTAATGTCGACAATATTTCCTTTCTCAACTTATATGGTGACTTGTAATGATATGGAAAATGTTCAATTGAGTAAGCTTTTTGTTTCAGTTTTGTATTTGACATTAGCATTTGGATATAAGTTTTCAATATACAGTTTTTATTTGGTTAGAATTACTATTATTACTATTACTATTATTATTACCATTACTATTACTATTACTATTATATTACAAAATAGCAAAGAAAGCTACTTACAGTCATATCGGAAGTTGGCAATTAGACTAGTTTAAAAAAAAATTAATTTTATCTAGAACTCTTAAATTTATTAGGGTTTATGTGGAATTAATTAATTAATTAAAATAAATTAAATTAATGAATACCTGTGAAAGTGAATCGAAATGAATTTCTCTACTTTCTTTTATTATGTTTGTATAGCTTTTACGTTAATTGCTATTGACATGCAAGTATAGGTTTTAAGTTAATTGTTATTGACATTCAATAAAACAATTAACTTAAGACTTACACAAATTTAAAATAAAACGAATTGACTTAATTCTGATTCACTTTTAATGCCCAAATAGGATTTCGTATTTAAATACTTACTTAGCAAGGAACACAAATTAAAACAAATAATTTACAAACCTTATGTAATTCTGACTTAATCAATTTACAAAACTTCTGGACTCCTTTCACAGTTTCAGTTAAGCTCTGATGAAGCCAACAAGATGATTGGCGAAACGTTAACAAGTTCGAATCAAGAAGTTTTATAAAAAGTATTACATTAGTCTGTGGAAGGTTCTAAAAAAAAACTGACTTAATCTCATACTCATATTTTAACCAGTTGATTTTTGAAAATTCAATGTCAGCTATAATGAATCTACATTAATTTAATTCCTCGTGACAAGAAGTAAGCAGCCAGGTTTTATATTTATGAACCTTGTTCATAAATATAAAAACGATTTCGAAATATACACCATATTTAGCGGACGTTTTGCGTCATTCTAAGTAGATACGTGTATCGGAAGAATGCGTTTCAACCTGGAAAAACAATACGAATCCAAGGGAAACTTATTGGAAACAGCCGTCATCCTAGAGTTA